GGCCGGGCAGCGGGAGGGGAAGGCGCCGAGGGCAGGCACGGGAGCCCGGCCCCAGCTCGCAGACCTGGCGCCCGGCCTGCGCCGAGCGGAGCAGTAAATTGCAGGGGAGGGCTGCGATTATGTCTGTGCCCAAGCATTTCCTCTCCTTCCGGCTCCTCCAGCTCAGCTCATCCCACCGCTCGTGCCCCCTCGTCTGCTCCCTCCTCCGCTCCCTCCTCCGCGCCCGTGGCGCGGCTGGCCGATGGCTGCGCTTACCCGGGGGTCCTGAGCCGCTGTGACATGCCTACAGACCTCGGGCCTCTCTCCCTTGGCCGGCAGCCATCGGCCCTGAAGCGCGTCTCCAAAATCCCCACCTTGTCCCTGTCCTGGCTGCATCACCACAGAAGGTGTCAGGATGTTGCCCGTCTCACTGTACCTGTACGCCCACACCCAGCCGGCTGCATAAGCACGCACCATCTCTCCAGCAGTGCCTTCATCCCGGCGAAGTGGGCAGGGAGCCCAGCTCTGCCTCCGAGCAGGTACGCGGCTTCTAAGCACAGCTGAGCCAGGCGCTGCGGGTACACGTTGGTGGGGACAGCCAGCACCGCGGCCACACAACCTGCTCCTGAGCCAGCCTCTTGCCACAGAGCTACCCTGCCATGGCTGCTCACATTTGAGGGAGGTGTCAGAGCTGCTTGCCCTTTAGGATGAGAAGAAACAGCAGAAATGTGGGCAGGCGAACCTCAGTCCAAGCCCGAGTAGAGCCTGCAGGGAACCTGTGGGAGGTGACCACATTCATGCTGCCAGGATGTTGGATGAAACCTGGAGATGGGGCTCCACGTCCCTGACTCTGCTACGGGGCACGTGGTTTGCAGATGCTTCGGCAGCAGTCACCAGAAGTCCTGCCGGCCTGGCTGCCCAAGGCGCTGGGTGCTGCCGCACGCCCTGCTGCTGGTGGCAGTTGCGCTGCTCTGAGGGCACCACAGGGCTGAGGGTATGGGGGCCCAGGGACACTGCAGCCTGGTCCTGTTTGTGGTGAGGCAGGGGCTGACAGTCCTGCTGCCCACACCACACCGCTGCCCCAGGCCCCGGCAGCCTCCCAGGCCCCTGGTATGCTGCCTGCACGAGGAGGGGCGAGATGGGGTCCTGCCAGATCGCTAGGAAAAGGGCAGGGCAAGGGCAGGCAGGCAGGGCAGCTGGTGGGATGGTCTGGGGGTGCAGGGGGACACGGTATGGGGAGGCCCCACTTTCCAGCAGGGTGCAGAGCTCCCCGCCTGGCTGAGCCCAGGGGACAAGAGGAGCCACACAGCGGGGAAAGCCACGGGGACAGCCACCAGCACAGCTCTGGGACCATGACAGGTGCTGCGGAGCCACCGGCCCCGGGTCAGGAGGGCGAGCAAGGCCAGGAGAGGCTGTGCCAAGTGAAGTACAGGCAAAGGCAGAGTGGCCAATGTGGCCTATGGCCAGCTGGCACCTGGCATGGGCTGGGGATGCGCCCCGGGTGCTGCATGGCCCCAGAGGCCACGTGCATGGGCTGAGGCCAGCTCTGCCTGCGGCACTGGGGACGGGTCCGTGCCCGGGGCAGAGCTGCCCCGCAGGGATGAGTGCGTCCGCTCACAGCCCAGCGCCGGTGTGAGTCATTGTCTGGGCTAAACGAAAACACGTGTCCAGCCTTGTACGGGCTCCTCGCTCAGCTCGTGGAGGTGCTGGACACTGTAAACAGGGGTGGGGTGGGGGGACGGGACACAGGGCCAGCCTGGCTGGGCCCTTGGGAGGGCCCCTGTCCCCCCTGGCTCTCTGCACTGAGTCCTCCCACTCAACCGCAGCCTGGCTGCAGCAGGAACAGGCCCCCTCCCTCCCCCGAGCATGGTGGGTCCCCACAGCGAGGCAGCACCGGGGCAGGCAGGGAGGCACAGGGGGGGCCCAAGGCCAAAGGACCCCCCTGAACCACAGTAGCCAGTCCCAGCTCTCTGAAGTCCTGCCTGCTGGCAGAGCTGCCTGAGCAGCCAGGTGGTAACAGGGACCCCCGGCTGCAGGGAGACACCCAGACAGCCAAAACGTGTGTTGGCGTCATCTGGGGGCTTGTGCCCAGAGTTATGAGGCAGCCACTTATCAAGCTGCACCCCTGCCTGCTCCCATCCGCACGGGGCACAGGGTCCCTCCGACAGCAGCTCCACCGGCAGCATCCCTGCAGGCACCCTGGGCTGCCAGGAGGTCGCTCCAGCATTGCATTGGACACATCCCCATGGGGCCCCAGACGGCAGCCTGGCTCCAGGGGGTAGAGGGGAGGAGGTCCTGCTCCTGCAGCCAGGGCTGGCGGAGGGTCCTGGCACTATGGCCACCCTGTCCCCTGCCAGCTGCCCCATGCCACCTGGCTGTGTGGTCTGTGCCTGCAGCTCTCCCCCCTGCCAAACCGTGGAGTCAAACACCGGCCCCGGCCCCTCACTGGTGGCTGGCGTGAAGCTGTGCTGCCCTGTGAACTGGGGCAGGGGCTGGGCTGAGTTGGGGGAGTGCAGGCCAGGCCAGGAGCTGCAGTCCTACCGGTTAGTGGGGTGGGAAGGAGGCCCCGGGGGGCCTGCAGATGCCCATGTTTCGCACTTTTGGCTCCCGAGACCTGTGCAAGTTCCTCCCAGGGGGCCACAGGCTGCTGCTGCAATTTCACAACACCGCTGGCGAGCTTGGGGAGGGCTCCCCAGCCAGCAAAGCCCCAGGGCTGCTGCAAATGCTTCCCAGCTGCTGCCGGTCCTGGGAAGCCAAACTGATGCTTCTGGCTCTCCCTCCTCTGCCGAGCACAGCAGCCCTTGGAGCAGGCACGGCTGAGCTGCCTGCTGGCTCCGGAGGCTTCGTTCCAGGTCCCAACTCTTCCCAGAGCTGACAGCTCTGGGTCTAGAGGCACCTCCGGGGCCTATGCCGTGCACAGCCAGGGCTGGGAGAAGACATGCGGCCAGCAAACCATGTAGGAATGGGGCGGGATCTCGCACCCACAGAGATGCTTGTCCCCACGTCTCTGGTGCATTCCCCGGTCAGGCACTAGGGACATGGAGAGAAGGGAGGGTGGCCCCAGGACAGGCTGCCAGCACGGCTGGGCTCCAGGGCCTGGGTCAGACCGGCTCCCCCAGGTACCGGGATGGGCCCAGTGCTCTGGCTGGACACCCCCTCCTCTACCTGGGGAGCACTGCGGCATGGTAGGATGCGAGGCAGAGCAGCAGAGCTGGGGCTCAGGCTCCTCCTTGGCTGCAAATCCAGAGCCTGGATGTCACCAGAGCCACCAACTCACTGCAGAAGGTTTCTGTTGCAATTAGGGGCTGGGAGCTAATGGCTGCAGTGCGGGGGCCTGCCTAGGGAACTGTCACACGGGAACTTCGCTGTCTGTCTCCTGGGCTGGGGCTCCCAGCACCCTGTGGTGGCAGTCCCTTGCCACCAGGTGCCACTGCCGAAACACTCGCACCACGCCTGCTGCAGCAGAGCCAACGCTTTACAGGAGACGCCAAGGCCAACTACAAAGCTGGGAGCACTGCCCAGCATCCCTCGGCCGAGTTTGGGGCGTGTGCCCGGCTAGGAGCATGCTGGTGGGGCCTGCCCCAGCGCCCCTCGGCCTCCCTCGCCCCTCCGGTCCAGTGCAAAAGTCGGTTAAATAAACTCAATGCCCTCGTATTTCACACTCCCAATCCTGGTCTCGGGCAGGAGGAAGCGCCCGTCCAGCGTGAAGGCCATGATGTAGCTGGCGATCTTGCCGTTGTCCTCTTCTGATTTCAGAGCCACGATGATCTGGTCATCCGTGTCTGGGATGAACTTGAAGGAGGAGAAGCCGTGGGTGGGGACCACCTCGCCCACGCGTCCCACCGTCACGTCCCTGAAGTCCTGGGTGGAGCTCAGCAGCAGGTTGGTGCCTCGCTGCTCTTCCGTCTTCTCGTTGTATCGCTCGTGGCTGGCGCGGCGTGGCAGGAAGAACCAGCGCTGCAGGGTGTCACTCCAGGAGGCCGACTCGTGGATCAGGTAACCTGCGGCAGGGAGCGGCGTCTGACGGCACGGGGCAAATGGGGCACCCGCCAGGCTGGGGCAGGACCTCTCCCCGCTCCAAAAGACACCACAGACGGGGAGGTCACAGCCCCGTGCAGGCGACTGCTGCGAACGTTTCCGCCTCCTCCTGCCCCGCTGCCCATGCAGCAGCCCCCCTAATCCCTCCCAGAGCCGGTCACGGGCACCCCAGCACGGCCTCCTCTGCCCAGGGGCCTGGCTGCCAGGCACGGGCCTGGCTGCGCCACCTTCCAGCTGCTCGTGGCACAGACAGGGGAGAAAACCGGCCAGGGCAGGCTCTGGCCTCTGCACCAGGACATGGGAAGGTCTCTGGCCTCCAGCGTCCTTTAAATCTCACACCAGTCCCAATATCTATGGGGAGGGAGACCCCAGCCCCAGAGCCCGCAGTGGGTGTGGGACACGGGGCAGCAGGAGGGAGCCTCGCTCAGTACCTGGGGGTCGGATCCCCGCCGCGGCCCTCAGCGCATTGTAGTTTGCCACCCAGTTCTCATGGCCCACATCGCCCTTGTAGCCGATGACCTTCACCCACTCGGGGTTCTCGTTCACCACTTCCCCCGTCGTTGTGGTCCACTCCTTGCCCAGTCCCCCCACGTAGAGGTGCTCGTCCTTCACTGCCAGCCACTCTGCCTTGAAGCCTGCAGCGGAGAGAATGGCATGAGCTGGGGCTTGGCCAGCACATGGACATCAGACCAGCTCCCACTCCCCTGAACGCCACACCAGACGGCCCAGTGCTGGGCACAGCCTTCCCCCATGCAGCCAGCCGGTCCCCGGGTGGGAAGTGCCCCCATCCCAGCCGGGTTTACGGGGTCACAGAAAAGGTGCACCCCACCCTGGCGCAAAGAGCCAAGGGCTTCACTGCTCTGCATCTGCAGGGCAGGACGGGAGAGCTCACCTTTCCCCACTGTGCCGTCCCCATCCGGGAGGATCACCCAGGGCACCACCTTGTTACCCTCAATCTGGGGGTGGGAATTGCCCCCATCCCGGCCGGGTTTACGGGGTCACAGAAAAGGTACACCCCACCCTGGCGAGCCGCAAAGAGCCAAGGGCTTCACTGCTCTGCATCTGCAGGGCAGGACGGGAGAGCTCACCTTTCCCCACTGTGCCGTCCCCATCCGGGAGGATCACCCAGGGCACCACCTTGTTACCCTCAATCTGGTAGACCACTCCTGTCCGGTCATCCACAGCGTACAGCCTCCCGTTGAAGACGACCAGCTCAGAGAGCTCCATGCCCCTGCCCTTCTCAGCCAGGTGGGACTGCAGCATGCTCTCGTCTTTGTCCCACTCCACCGTCACGCTGTCCCCGCTGTCCGACAGCACCAGGTAGCCCTTCTTCAGGTAACTGAACCAGGTGTGCTCCTCAGAGCCCCGGGACTGCGTGTCCAGGTCCGCAATGACTCCGATGCGGTAGCGCACGCCATCAGGGTTTCTCTGGGGTGGGGACAGCGGGTAGGTGTCATTGTAGCGGTCCCCTGCCTGCAGGCTGAGCTGCCAGTTGCGAGGATTTGGCGGGATGGGCCGTGCCGGGGAGGACCGGTGCAGGCAGAAGAGCAGTAGCACAAACCCCACGCAGGCTGACGACAGCACGATGGCCTTCCAGCGCAGTCGGAAGCGGGGGTCAGCACCCTTGGTCATGGACGCGAGGACAGGCAGACCACCCACGCTGATCCGGAGGGGGCTCATAGATTCATGGCAGGGCGGGATGGGCATCAGACTGGGGGCGAGGAGAACCTGGTGGCAAAGAGGGGAGGAAGCAGGTCAGAGAGCTGGAACCTGGCACTACACTGAGCTTGGTGGGGGCAGCAGGGCACAGCCACGAGGGAGAGGCGAGGGGCCCCATCCCCTCTCCTGTAGCAGGAGAAGGTGCTGCCGCCTTGTGCAGGGAAGAGCCAGCACGCCAAGGGGGCTGCTTTGCTGCTGGGGCCACTCTCAGCCCCTTCTCACCCCCCCCCTGCACTCCCAAACCAGAATGAGCCCCAGCGCGTCAGCAGGCACACACAACCTGCTCAGCACCTCTACCTGCCCCAGGGTCCGCAGCAGTCCAGGCAGGGAGCTGAGGCACCCCTGCCTGGGGCGAGCCCCTGGGACCCACGTCGGGGTGTCCTGCTGAGCAGCGTCCCTGCACAGCCCCGGGGAAGGAGGAGGTTCCTCTCCGGCAGTGAAGACAACCCTTGCTGCCTCTGGAGCGGCGGGCAAGCCTGGCCCAGATCCTGCAGCCCCCCAGAACCGGCCCCACTGGTGACTGGTGAGTGTGTCCCCAGGCCCCACGGGGACACCAGGAGACGTGGCAGCTCCGCCCGAGCAAGATGCCAACGCCTGAGCAGGAAGCGCAGTGCCGAGTCCAAGGGACAAACACCCCGACCTGCCCAGCCTTAAAGTCACAGCAGCGCCTCCCCCCAACCCTGCCAGGGCTGCCCATGGTCACAGCATCTCTTCCGGGCAGGACTCGCATGCGGGTACCCCTCAGCTCACCCCAGGCTGTGCCCACCCGCAGGGCCAGGGCACCAGCAATGCCTCTCCCTGCCACCTCCCTCAGTGCAGCACAAGGGACGCGGCAGCTCCCCGGGCTCCTGCAGATGGACACTTCAGGCTGTGTGGGGTGCAGGGAGCAAGCAGCTCCCTAGGACTGGAAGCTGTTCCAGCGCCACCCACTCTCACCCCATGCCACACAGCACCGGGCAAGGACACCCCACTGGGCAGCGGCCCCCCCAGCCCGGGTCAGGGCAGACGGGTCCTCAGCCACAGGCCCAGGGCCGTCCCCAAAGGGCCGGTCAAGCCCGGGTCAGGGCAGATGGGTCCTCAGCCACTGGCCCAGGGCCGTCCCCAAAGGGCCGGTCACTGGCCACAGTGGGGCCCCGGGCCTGGCACTGGGCACGGGCCGTGCTCCCCGCAGGCGGCCGTGCCGCGGGGCTCTCAATGTGCCTTTCAGCAGCCCGAGGTGCGAACAGAAGCTGCATTGACCGTGGGGGGCCGAGCCCCGGGCAGGCGGG